TACTGCCCTCATGGAAGGAGCAGTAAGGAGTAGAGGTGAATTTATACATAGGTCAAGGTACAAAATGTATTGCAATCCCTATCTTCACGTCAAATCATTCAGAAACTTAGAGCATTCCAAAGGAACATGTAGTTGTTGATGCATGTTTGCATTGACTATGTTTAGCAGTAAACTTGAAACACTAATTATAATTCATTTTGCGATATTTGGCAAAACATTTGGGGTGGGGCGTCCTTAAATGAGTAGTAAATAATTGAGCCATTGCATCCTCTTGTATCGATACATGAAATATGTATCGTGTATCATATACTTTAACGAAATCGAAGGATGTACTGTTGTTACAGTGCAGCGGTGGGGTAGCCTAGTGGTTAAAGCGTTCACTCATCACACCGAAGACCCGGGTTTGATTCCCCACATGGGTACAATGTGTGAAGCCCATTTCTGGTGTCCCCCGTGATATTGCTGGAATATTGCTCAAAGTGGCGTTAAACCATATTCACTCACTATTGTTACCCCCCAAAATGCAGACTTTGTTTCCATGGTGATCCAGCTTTAAAAACTGATCATCATCAGCAGGAATTGTGTTTACCTGATATAGTGACACCTTTGAGTTTGCTCAGCAAACATGAGGTATATGGGATCTATTTTGTCGATGAACACCAACAGGGTTCTATGGAAGTGAAAACTTTTATGTATTGGCAAGTTTATTATGCAGAATTAGCGATGCAGCATTTGCCTGGAATTGAAGTGCATTTTCTCTGTATATTGCTCCAGATCAGTGACCATCTTTGACTAAACTATTTCCGATGTCAACAAGTGTGTAGATTTCCTTTCAAGTGCATGTAAACAGATTAACCGCTGTTGTGGGGGTAATTAGAATCAATAGTGTTGCTTTAGTGACTTGAATATCATATCAAAGCCGTGAGTAAACACAAGACTTAAACTTGAAGCAGTTGACAAAGTGCTGTGAACTATCAGCTGGTCTGCCTCCTAGTAAGCTGAAGCCACAGCTGAAGATTCTGTGTGGATTGCATGGAGATTTCTGTAGTGACTGACAAAGTAATCCCCTAACATTATAGCATGACCTGGCTTTTCCTTGTTTGCATTGTTATAGTTTTCAAGTCAATGAAGTACTATTTGAATGATGTGTCTTCTAAATGATTTCACAATGTCGAGAACGACATGGTTATCACTAACTGTACACAGCTACAACATTTTAAATGTTTACTCAGACTCTTGTGGATATGATGTGAACACGATTGTGTTGTAAACTGGACAAAATATGAGACATGGATTTGCATAGGACAGGAGACGTGTATAGGACAGGAGTTAATTGAACACGACATGAGCGGAGTGAGTAGTACAGGAGTGGAGTGAATAGGACAGGAGTGGAGTGAATAGGACAGGTGGAGTGAATAGGACAGGAGTGGAGTGAATAGTACAGGTGGAGTGAATAGGACAGGTGGAGTGAATAGGACAGGAGCGGAGTGAATAGTACAGGTGGAGTGAATAGGACAGGTGGAGTGAATAGGACAGGTGGAGTGAATAGGACAGGAGTGGAGTGAATAGGACAGGAGTGGAGTGAATAGTACAGGTGGAGTGAATAGGACAGGAGTTGAGTGAATAGGACAGGTGGAGTGAATAGGACAGGTGGAGTGAATAGGACAGGTGGAGTGAATAGGACAGGAGTGGAGTGAATAGGACAGGAGTGGAGTGAATAGGACAGGAGAGGAGTGAATAGTACAGGTGGAGTGAATAGTACAGGTGGAGTGAATAGGACAGGAGTGGAGCAAATAGGACAGGTGGAGTGAATAGGACAGGTGGAGTGAATAGGACAGGTGGAGTGAATAGGTGGAGTGAATAGGACAGGTGGAGTGAATAGGACAGAGTGGAGTGAATAGGACAGGTGGAGTGAATAGGACAGGTGGAGTGAACAGGACAGGTGGAGTGAATAGGACAGGAGTGAGTGAATAGGACAGGTGGAGTGAATAGGACAGGAGTGGAGTGAATAGGACAGGTGGAGTGAATAGGACAGGAGTGGAGTGAATAGGACAGGAGTGGAGTGAATAGGACAGGTGGAGTGGGTACAGGTGAGTGAACAGGAGTGGAGGAATAGGACAGGTGGAGTGAATAGGACAGGTGGAGTGAATAGGACAGGTGGGGAGTGAATAGGGTGGGAATAGGACAGGTGGAGTGAATAGGACAGGTGGAGTGAATAGGACAGGTGAGTGGGAGGAATAATGGGACAGGTGGAGTGAATAGGACAGGTGGAGTGGGAATAGACAGGTAGTGGAGTGAATAGGACAGGTGGAGTGAATAGGAGGAATAGAGACAGGACAGGAGGAATTGAATAGGACAGGTGAGTGTGGAGTGAATAGGGACAGGGTGGAGTGAATAGGACAGGTGGAGTGAATAGGACAGGAGAAGTGAATAGGACAGGAGTTGAGTGAAGAGGACAAGTGGAGTGAATAGGACAGGTGGAGTGAATAGGACAGGAGTGGAGTGAATAGGACAGGTGGAGTGAATAGGACAGGTGGAGTGAATAGGACAGGAGTTGAGTGAATAGGACAGGTGGAGTGAATAGGACAGGAGTGGAGTGAATAGGACAGGTGGAGTGAATAGGACAGGAGAATAGAGCGGTGGAGTGAATAGGACAGGTGGGAGTGAGTGGAGGAGTGAGGACAGGAGTGAATGGACAGGTGGAGTGAATAGGACAGGTGGAGTGAATAGGACAGGAGAGGAGTGAATAGGACAGGAGAGGAGAATAGGACAGGAGGAGTGAATGGATGGAGTGAATAGGACAGGAGGAGGAGTGAATAGGACAGGAGGAGTGAATAGGAGACAGGAGTGGAGTGAATAGGACCCAGGAGTGGAGTAATAGGACAGAGGTGGAGTGAATGGGAGGAATAGTACAGGAGTGGAGTGAATAGGAAAGGAGGGTGGAATAGGGAGTGAATAGGACAGGAATAATAGGACAGTGGAATAGGACAGGAGGAGTGAATAGGACAGGAGTGGAGTGAATAGGACAGGAGGGGAGTGAATAGGACAGGAGGGAGTGAATAGGACAGGAGGAGTGAATAGGACAGGAATAGGTGAATAGGACAGGAGAATAGTACAGTGGAGTAGATAGGACAGGAGGGGAGTGAATAGTACAGGAATAGGAGGAGAATAGGACAGGAGGGAGTGAATAGTACAGGAATTGGAGTGAATAGGAGGAATAGGAGTGAATAGGACAGGAGGAGTGAATAGGACAGGAGGGAGTGAATAGGACAGGAGAGTGGAATAGGACAGGAGGAGTGAATAGGACAGGTGGGAGTGAATAGGACAGGAATGGAGTGAATAGGACAGGAGGAGTGAATAGGACAGGAGAGTGAATAGTACAGGAGGGGAGGAATAGTACAGGAGTGAGAGTGAATAGGACAGGAGTGAATAGTACAGGAGGGGAGTGAATAGGACAGGAGGGTGAATAGGACAGGAGGGTAGATAGACAGGAGTGGAGTGAATAGGACAGGAGGGAGTGGAGGAGTGGAGTGAATAGTACAGGAGTGGAGTGAATAGTACAGGAGTGGGTGAATAGGACAGGAGAGGATTGCCAGGAGTGAATAGGACAGGAGTGGAGTGAATAGTACAGGAGTGGAGTGAATAGGACAGGAGTGGAGTGAATAGGACAGGTGGAGTGAACTGGAAATAAACGGAACGAATAGGACAGGAGCGGAGTGAATATGATGTGAGATGTGAAAAGCACTAGATAGATGGACAGCTGCCCTCATGCCTAATCCCATCAAATTGTAGACAGCACCCAAAACACCACCCATGCTAAATAACATCAAAATTCCCATTCACTACCTCATTCACTCACTCACTCACTCCCACACCCACTTACACACATACATATATATTTTGATAAGTATGTGTAGATAATAACAGATAACCAGACTGAGTACACCTTCAGAATTCCCTCATGCACGCACGCACACACACACTCACTCACTCACGGTGAAGTGGTTTCTATAAAAATATTAGCATAAGTAAATCAATGTGCTTTCGCGATATTTTAAGACCTGTCTTTTAACCAGCCATAGTAATCCTACCCAAAATACCCTTGACCAACAGCTTGGAATACTTAACCTCTACATGGTGAGAGAGTTGTGTCTTTTAGCCAGTTAAACGAGAGGGCTAAAGTTGTGTTACATAAGTGGCTCAGCCACTCGGCCTGGACTAAGTCACTTATCTAATGACTAACTGCGGATGTTTCAGCACTGAGTGGTGACTGATATCACCATGGCGGAGGACAGTGGAAGCAGGCCTCAAGATGTGCCGCTAATTGCACAACCTGAAGGTAAGCTGAGATGTTACAATAGTAAACCACTTAAAGATTAACAGGAAAAAACAATGTGTACCGAAGGAATTCTTTATGTACGAAACAGAAGAGACACGATTGCACATATCTATGCTGATATTGTGTGTACTGATACTGTGTAGTGAGTAACGTGTTAGTCTGTCTCACAGTCCCTGAGCCACACTATTTTCCCTAATGCCTAGTCCTCCCTCCAGTGCTAAAGCCCTAAATGAAGCAAGTCTAGATTTCCTCAGGTTCGGGTGAATCTCCCATCAATGGGGCTCCTTTTCAATTTAAATGGGTTTATTTGTTACTATCAAAATTTTATATATTCAGAGACTAAGCGTTGGTCTAAGTAATGTGTATGCTTGTTTTGGTTGAAGCTACCAAATAGGTTAAGGCTGGTGGGGTAACCTAGTGGTTCAAGCATTGGTGGGTGGATACTTGGAGGTCAATAACCCCGCTGGAAAACAGGGCAGAGGACCAGTACTGAAACACTTAGAAAACATGCATCAGCTTTTGTAATATTTCACAAAATGGCCACAAAAATGAGTGAGTGGGTGAGTTTAGTTTTATGCCACTTTTAGCAATATTTCAGCAATATCACAGTGGGGGACACCAGATATGGGCTTCACATATTGTACCCATGCGGGGAATCGAACCTGGGTCTTCGGTACGATGAGCGAACGCTTTAGCCACTAGGCTACCACCCACCCCACCCCCATTTTCATATTGCGTGTTACGTTACAGTGGTATGTTATTAGATGACAGAGATTGTCATATTGTCACATTTTGATGTTGCGTGTCACGTCACAGTGGTGTCTCCTCAGATGGAGATTGTCATATTGTCGCATTTTCATGTTGCGTGTCACGTCACAGTGGTGTCTCTTCAGATGAGGGAGATTGTCATATTGTCACATTTTCATGTTGCGTGTCTCGTCACAGTGGTGTCTCCTCAGATGAGGGAGATTGTCATACTGTCACATTTTGATGTTGCATGTCACATCACAGTGGTGTCTCTTCAGATGAGGGAGATTGTCATATTGTCACATTCTGATGTTGCGTGTCACGTCACAGTGGTGTCTCTTCAGATGAGGGAGATTGTCATATTGTCACATTCTGATGTTGCGTGTCACGTTACAGATGACCCTGATGCCAGGACAGGACCGTTCCCCATAGAGAAGTTGTCGCCTACGACTCGACACAACCTGCACTCAATGATTGACATACTAGCTTCAGGTGAAGGTGGGTGGAGTTATGTGACTTGTACAACACTCAGGTGTGTGACTTGTACAGCACTCAGGTGTGTGACTTGTACAACACTCAGGTGTGTAGACATTTAATTTCCAACCCTGTTTATGTTGCACCTGACAGAAGTACCTGAAACAGAAATATAACATTTACACAAAAATCTCTAAACTATAAAAATATTCCAGATGATGGTTCTACTGTCTCAGTGCCAGTGTTATTTTTGGGACAGAATTGATCTTCAATGACCCATGCTTGTCGTCAGAGGCGATTGGGGATTGGGTGGTCAGGCTCGCTGACTTGCTTGACACATGTCAGGGACACATCCAGAGGGGGTATGCACACACACCAAGGAAAGCCCAATCACAGGAAAACTCAAATATTCTACGCTCATACAATATCTCTGTGTGTAACCTGAAGACACCTCCATAGAGCAGTGACCCCTGAGAATTGACCAGCTAGTCTAAATGAAAGATGAATGGCTTCTTTCACCCATCACAAATCAGATTTCTAAAAAGATAATCGTCACTATTTACATTTGATTCAGATATATGTATATCCGCAAAAGAAATATGCCTCAAAATATATTCTGTGAATTATTTGAAGCTGAAATTGATGCAAGAAAAATACAAATATCTCTTGCTTGTATTAATATCATGTCACATATTTTGGAGGGAAGTACAAACTGGAGATTATGGTGGTATGTCAGGTTCACACCAGGGGAGACGATGACATACAGATCAAAACACAATAACAGTGTAATTGAGCGCTGTTTATACACAGTGCTCATTGCCAAGCTCTGTGTCAAGCCTTGTCAATTTGTTTACATTAGTTGATCAAGCAAAATTACAAGCAAAATATTGCTCAACTATTGTGGGTTAAGGGAAAGCATTTGGGGTGAATACATAACACTCTTATATATATGAGCAAATGATTGTGTAATAACGCTTGGAACAATGTCATTGGATTTACGCTATTGAAATCAATTTGATTTTATGTTGAGCAGTTGAAGTTTGGATTGTTTGTTAAGTTTATGAAGATAGTAAATGATACTATCACTGGAATTGCCATTACACTATGTTCACTTCAATTCAATTATTCAATTCAAATAATTAGTACTTTACAAGATGTCGGTTTTATTGTACAAATGTTTGGCGACATTAAGACAATCTTTAAACTTATCCTATCTTACGGAGTGTACTCTCTCTCTGATGTGCTGGTTTTGGTCTGCTGAGAGCCCTTGCAGTCATGGGAAAAGAGGACAAATCTTCGAGGAGAAGGAAGGTCTGTGACAAATGTAGAAAGCATTTCTTCACTTCAGACCCTCATCCATCATGCATTGACTGCATAGGCCTTTACGCCTGGACCTCAAGATGTAAAATTTATGAGAAGCTCAAAGATGATGACTTTACTGCCGATGGTAACGTCGGCTCCAGGCAGCTAGCAGACCGGGATAGGAAGAAGTCAGACGATATGGGCCCTTCTGCACCCACAAAATCAAAAACAGTTAGACCTACTAAGAAGGCCCACAGGATTTCTCGTTAGCATCAGAAAATGATGATTTTCTTGACACCCTGTAAGACTCTTACCTCAGTGAGAACTTCAGACGTTTTTTCCATATGTTAGATTCAGCAATAAGTTCGCCGACCCCAAGACATGCATTCTCATCTAGAGTGGTGGTAGTGAATAGATCACCGTATTCCGTCAGTTTGGTCCCTTGGTACTGGTGCAGCGGTTGTCCTCAGCCTGACAACGCAGATAGTGACATCCTCCGTTCGCGGATCGGTGCTACCTTGTAAAAGTGAATCAAGGTGTATTAACTCCAGTTCATCTCCGTTCTACTTTCCTTGGGCATAGATCCATCACACCTAGTTTGACACTACGGCATTGCAGTACAGTCACCATTGAGTTCATCGTAGACTGAGCGAGACTAGAGAGGCCAGTGACTATGATGCAGAGGCGATCAACACTCATACTTATTGACCTCTACTCTTCGAGCAAGTACGTCAGTGGAGAGTGAATACCGAATTCCAGTGGATTTTGATGCGTTCGTCTCCTAAGTTGCCGGACACATCCTTGATCAACCTTAAGCAAAGGAGTGAGGATCATTCGATGATGTTCGGAACTGATCGTTAAAACAGTTGTAGCGTGACCCTTTCATCTTTATGTGTGACTGTGGGGATGGTTTCGAAACAGGGGCTGTCCAGATTAGAGTCGCAAGACTTTAATTTACTAGGGCTTTCTGGAAATCGGGGCGAGGTGTCGTATATATGTTGAACTCCGCTTTTATCCTTTGACAAATGTACGGCGGAAAACCACATTTGCTCGGGATTGCCCACTCCTTGGGAGTTTTTGTGCTGAGTAAGTCAAGGGGTTTTGAAGAAGCAACCCATCACAAGTATAGGAGTTGTGTAGTCAATCGGGAGCTCATAACAGGCCTCCTTGTGCATCATCATCACGTCACCACAGTTGTTAGCCACTGAGACACAAGGTCATCTGTGGCCCACCGTCCAACTGTGGGATAAGTACAAAACGTGAGATAGGATAGGTTTAAAAATTTGAAAATTTGAACTATAAATTGTATATTTATAATACTTATCCTATCTCACACGATGAATTCCTGTCTGACCAACCTGACCAGGGGTGTGTTTCGGCAAACGGTTCAGGAGAGGCCCAAAACTTTGTTTACAGTTCGTTTCCACTCAGCTGTCGATCATAAGAGAGAGAGTACAAGATGTGGGATAGGATAAGAATTATAAATATTCAATTTATAGTAAAATTTTAAATTATGATTCGATTACTATTGCTCCTATAATATGGAATATGTACTTATCGTTCCTCTTCTACATTGTATTACGGTAAAAGGTCAGATTTTAATGAGTTTGATGTTTGCCACCTTCAGAGTTGATGAATCTGTGAATGTCAACGACCTGCAATACCTCTTTCCACATCAGGCTGACACACTCTGATACAATTAAATTCTGTTAAATGTTTCATCAAACTAAACTCCATCACTCAAGGGAAAGGTTAATGTTAACACTTGCTGTATACATGAACAAACATTGTAATCAGTGTATATAAGATATATGTGCCATGGGCGGGTATTAGTACCTGGATGTAGCGCTATATAAATACCCACATTATTATTATTATTATTATTATCCGTGTCATGGTGTTTAAAGCTAACTGTCCACGCCTGCCTGTTTCAGCCACTCTGGAAAAAGATGACACAGGAAAAGTGACAGTGGCCTACAAAGACACACGGTAGGATTATTTTTAAATCCTCATCAATGTCCCTGAACATTTGTTTTTTTGAAGTACAATAACATTTCTTGTTTGGTTTCTGTCACCATTGTGTGGTTTTGAAGTTACACAAAACAATAGACTTAGATAGTAACATTATATTTTCTTAATGTAACTGTCAACAGCCATTACATGTATATATATGCATATTATTGCCTTAAATCTGAAATAAGCCCACTAAGTTTGACAAGCTTTACTAGTTTCTTTTCCAAGTACAGGAAGCTGGACACATCAACCCCAGTTCAGCACCAAATGTCACCTACATAAAAACCATCTGAGCACACATTCACCATAAGTCATCGTGTTTAAAAAGACAAGAATTAAAAGTCAGGTTTAATTACTGTCTTGATGTACTTTTAAGAAACATAAATATCTTACACAATTTCATCCAATCACAGCTGTCACAAGTCTCGATCAGAACTCAAGCTTACTTATGAAACTGGCTCAGGGAGCCACATATTCCTATTTTATGTAAAAGAAAATTGAAAATGAAAGATGTGGTCTAAGGGAGATAATGCAGGCTGAGGTTTAGGTTTTGTTGCAGTAATCTTTAATCAGTTATCTCCCTTTATTCAGAAATTTCTGCTTTGAAGAGGGAAAGAAACCTTTCAAAATTTTCCACCAGACCACAGGAAGTCTGTACTTCACTTGTCCAAAATGACATTTGTATATTTACTATAAAACTTCACTGGCCACCAGGACCACTGCAAACTTTCCATTTAGTGGACCTGATGAATTTTTACTAGCCAAGGACCACAGGACCAGTGTAAATTTCTCACACTGTTTGAAGCTATCTTACAGTTACATTGAAGTGCTTTGCATATTGGTTGTTTAATGTCATGCTCAGAAATATTGCAGTTATACACTGACTGCCTGCAAACAATAAAGATTAGTGACATCCTCACATGTGTGAGGGACGGCTGTGTAGCCTAGTGGGTAATGGGTTGGTTCTTCACACTGAAGACCCTGGCTCAATTCCCCACATGGGTACAATATGTGAAGCCCCTTTCTGCTGTCCCCCACTGTAAAAACCTGATCTTGTCATGTGCTTTCTTTTTTTATCATTCAATCAATTGGCTCTGTCAAACTTTGTATAAGTCAAAGTATTAATGAAGGTGCCTTCAACTTCAACACTGACTGCATTTTACGCATAGTTTCAGCTTGGATGTTGTTGACTATTTCATTAAACAACAGTTTGTAGTGAGCCGAGTAATGAAGGAGATAGTTACAAGATCACATCTTATGTTTCTACTTCTGTGAGAAAATATGCAGGATTATTGTGGCGATTGTGTCACCTTACAGGAAAATTCCCGTTTTGAGCCATGTGGACAAATCAAGAAGCAATGTGATACACGTATCAAAGACTGACAAAGATCGCCAGAACCAGGTGAAAGTGTGCCTAGAAATGATAGACTTCATAAAGACCAACAGGGCCCCGAAAGGTGTGGACTTTGATCAGACAAAGGTATTTGTATTGTTGATGTCATGATTGCATTTCTCACCTCAAATTATGAAATGTCCCTCTTTGTAAATTAATTATGCATGTATGTTAATGTTGTAAAAAGCCACTTAGAAAAATCAAGCTATAAAGCTTCTTGTGTATAATCTATCCTGGACTAGAAAACCATGTGATTGATTCACACCATCAATGGGATGACACTTGTTCAGCCATGTCAGGAAGTTGGACCACCAGTGTTGCTGTAGGCAAGTTCTACTGGCTGAATTTATGTCATAATAATACTTTTGAGAGGAAAAGATGAGTGCTTTCTGTCCCGGGGAAGTGTTTAAAATAGGTACCTACCTTTAGACCAGTGTTTAGCTCATCTCATGTTAGGCATGTTGTTCTAAATTTGTATGTATCCTAATTTGTATGGCCTAAATCCAAATTTACAGATTTCTTTGTGTGTCACAGTGAGATAGTATATTAAGAAGGGTATGAACCTGTGAAGATCTGGGTTAGAATTGATCTTCTGTATATAACCCATGCTTGTCGTAAGATGACTAACGGGATTGGGTGGCCAGACTCGCTGACTTGGTTGACACATGTCATCGTATCCGAATGGCATAGATCGATGCTCATGCTGTTGGTCACTGGCACACAGACTGCTGCCATATAGTTGGAATATTGCTGAGTGCGGTGTAAAACTAAACTCACTCACTAATAAGGGTATGATTCTAGTAAGGACCTCTAAAGTCTATGGGTCCTGGTGATAACCAGTGTGTCATATGTCACACACTGACTGGTGTTCAAGGTCACACTAGGGGCGGTGGGGTAGCAAAGGGGTTAAAGCATTCGTCGTCACACCGGTTGTTGCTATGACAACTAATAGCTGGCACTGTTCATACTATCAACAACTGGATGACACTTGTTTATGTACAAGCAGCTGTAGCTTAATTTCTGCATAAAACAATGTTCGCTCCCCTCACTCTTGTGTTTGTGGTCATGTGGCTATAATGCCTCCCTGCTAAGGATCTGACCCCAGGAGAATGCCAACATTCATCTGTGATGTTAGTTGTATGATCAAATGACCAGACATATGAAGAGTTGGCCTGGCTGGTGCTTGTAGCCTTGACGTGTTTGTAATATTGCCAACAGTGACGTATGCCAACATTCATTATAAGATATAAGTGTAGTGTATTTCAGGTCAAACTCAGCACAACTGGTAAATATCGTGAAGGTCATGAGTTTACCAAACTGCTGAAGGAGATTCTGGGTAAGGGAGCCACTGCTGGAGATATAGTGGTCGTCAAGGACACCGAGACTGGCACCGAGCATGCTCAGAAAACAGTAAGTCGTCATCCTACCAATGAGAAATTGATATTGCTGATGTCAACAAAGTGTACAAAGACTTAAAAAATGTATTGTACTATTCCTGTCTAAAGCCATGAAAGTCCCAAACTCTGAATCAGTAGGGGTGGTCGGGTAGCCTAGTGGTTAAAGTGTTCGCTCGCCACGCAGAAGACCTGGGTTCGATTTCTCACATGGGTACAAATTGTGAAGCCCATTTCTGGTGTCCCCCCCCGCCGTGATATTGCTGGAATGTTGCTAAAATCGGCATTAAACTGAACTCACTCACTCACAAACAACATCCGTCTTTTCTGTAGGTGATGATATCCGACTTTCGGACTGATGAGGTTCGGGCATGGGTGGATCTGCAGGAATTGAAACTGGAGGGAGAAGCCTTGTGTCCAGCTTTGTTTTGTTTCTATCTGCAAGATAATGAGATCTTCTTCCACATGGAGAAACTGGATAGAGGTAAGACAAGAGCTCATCCTTCCAGCTTACATGGTTTCTACATGCGTGGGGGCGGTGGGGTAGCCTAGTGGTTAAAGCGTTGGCTCGTCACCCCGAAGACCCGGGTTCGATTCCCCACATGGGCACAATGTGTTTAGCCCATTTCTGGTGTCCCCCGCCGTGATATTGCTGGAATATTGCTAAAAGCGGCGTAAAACTAAACTCAGTCAGTCAGTCAGTTCTACATGCATGTGTGCATTCACTAGTTCAGGGTTTTACATTTTCAACAAAACTGTTACGATTGTGTCACTTTCTGTTTTACCCTCATGATGTATACATGCTGACTGCATGGTTTGACCACAAAGGAAAAGTACCTGAAATGCTATTGTAGCCTGTATTATGCAAACACACCTTTCTACTGCCTAATTTTCAGAAACAATATATGGTTTAATGTAAAATTTTACAGTGATGCGATAACATGGCATGGCGAACAAGACAAATTAACCAATTGATGTAGACTCCAATGCCTGTGTTTGTAGGTGGAGTGTCATCGAAGAAATGACGATGTTTATGTTAAATCCAGATTAGTGTTTGAAGATAGTTATCCTGTATGCAAGTATATAAAACAGAAATCAGGTTGGGAAGGGTCTCCTTAGTCCCATGTGACACTTGTATATATAGGCACAGCTATCCTTCTAGAATCTGCCATGTCAGGAAACTTCTCTAACAATCAGGTTGTACTGCGTAAACAAGAATGGGAGATAAATCTAAATGACACTTTTGCACATCAGTGATCAATGTTTTATGAGCATTTAGTAATTTGCTGAAACTTACAATCAGTACAATAATATTAAACAATCTCTGCTGCCATATTAAACTGATTATGTTAATGAGGAATGAAGACAACTCTCGTTATGACAAATGTTTATAGCTTTGATCTGTTCCTTCAGCTATAACCCTTCGAGATGTTATTGACAGTCATATGCAGAAGATAAGAGATGAAGAGCCAAGCCTAGTCCGTCCCTTCTCGCTCTACATCTGCCATGGACTTCTGTCTGCTGTGAGTCTCATCCATGACAAGAACTGGACGCATCGAGATCTGCACGGTAAGAGGGGCTCGTGTGTCAGCTTACAAATGAAATGTTATTGAGGGTCCCTGATCGCTCAATGAACTTGTTCCACTAGAACAGCACACTTCAGCCAGGTCCAAATTGACCTTCAGAGTTGCATACCTTGGTCATGCCAGGATCTGCTGGGGAATGATGGCTGACCCTGAGTTTGAATTCCAGGTTCTCATTGGTATTGCCAAAGAGATAAATTACCTCTGTCGTTTTATTCTATTCTCCCTAAACAAGCTGGCATGCCATACTTTTTGAAATTCTAAGCAAAATTATATATAGTGTAGAAGTAGTGACCAGGTGGAATTTATGTAAACTTGATTTACACTTGCAACATAGTTTATGCACCTCTGACATACGGAGAGATATTATATAAAGTGTAGAAGTAGCAACAAGGTTGAATTTATGTAAACTTGATTTACACTTGCAACATAGTTTATGCACCTCTGACATACGGAGAGATATTATATAAAGTGTAGAACACTTGCAACATAGTTTGTGCACCTCTGACATCTGGAGAGATATTATATAAAAGTGTAGAAAGTAGTGACAAGGTTGAATTTATGTAAACTTCATTTTACACTTGCAACATAGTTTGTGCACCTCTGACATACAGAGAGATAAGCTTATATAAAGTGTAGAAATAGTGACATGGTGGATTCTTTTTATATATTCCTCCTTGGGGTACTTATAAGCATTTAAAATGTCCATTTAAAATCCCTACGACAGTTGTAACAATATTTGAATAAAATATTTACAAAAAGCAAAACTACGTTTTGTCTTGTGAGACCACCCCTTACAGGGCCCCTCTGGCCCCTACAATAAGAGCAGGTAACTCTAGACCCGTGAACTGCTAGCACCTCACTTTCCATGCTGTCGTTTCCCGACATAGACATGGGTCCATTACAAGAAAGTTTTTGCTTCAGCGTGAGAATTATGAGTGGGTCAGAAAGCAGCAATTGTATGTATGGTTCTCTTTTTTCCCTGCATGGGCGATTTGAAGACTTGTTCTGAACTTTTTTTCATTCATAATTTTCAGTTGTAACTTGGTACCTGTATGGTGATTAGGCTTCGCCCGGAGTGCGTGCCAAGATGGCGACCAGGTACCTTCGCTAGCATCACTGTTCACTGGTTTCCCGTGGTGGTTTTGATGTTACAGGTGGGGTTAGTAATTTTACACGTATATGTGGTTACATGTAGGGCGTTTCCACTGCTTGCATTTTCTATCTTGCACGATATAAAAGTCGTAGTTATGTCAGTCGCGATATTATGGTTATTGTCAACTGTATGCTACGTTGTCGCATTAGTTATGTAATGCCCATTATCGTGTTTTTCATATATGTATGTATGGGGTTGATTGCTGCGGTTGTTTACTCTGTTGCGAAGTTCTAACTTGTGCCGATTGCCTTCGCGGCCATTCCGTCTGTTGACACACACGAGTGTCTGCTTCGTTGCCTCACCTGCCAAACTGGAAACCAGATGGCCTCGAGTGAAATCTCTCATTGATCTGGGCGTTGGATGGAGTTCGTTAAGGAGCTCACGGCGCGGGTGTGAGTGGATCTGATCTGGCATCTGTGGGGGTTGGCTGCGGCCCGAGCTTAGGCTCGGGGTAGCAGCGCCTCCTGGGCAGCTTGATCCCCGGGCTTAGGCGTGGAGATAGTGCTACCTCGACACCCTAAAGAGCTGACCTGGCCTCGGGCGTGGAGTCCGTCACAGGTGGCTGGCGCCCGGCGATGCAGGGTTGCCCCTGGCTTCCAGCCTGGTGCCCTGACTGGCAGTCGCCTCGGCACTGCCCAGCTTCGAAGGAGACACCTCGGCCTGGCGGCCAGTCTGGAGTTGCCGGGGAGGCCTGTCGCGGCAGGTTCCTCTCGAGCGCCTCTTTGCAGGCGAAGTTCTGCCCGGCTGGAGGCGACTCGTTGCTTCTGGCGCCTCTTGACCTTTATGGTCTTCGGGTTCAGCCTCTGGTATGTCCTGAGGAAGCGGTCTCTCAGGAGTATGAGAATGCGGGCTGCGAGGATTATGCCGAGGTGGACACATGGAAGGGCGATGGAGGGAGGCGAGGAGCCGAAGTGCGAGTACCTCCTTTGGCTCCGTCTCACAGAGGCAGAGTCGCGGGGAAAAAATTGCGAAAGCCCTGCCCCAGGTGGCCGTTCCCACACAGGCTCGACCCGGCGGAGTTTGGCTCCCGGGGGAGGCTTTTAGCCTACCAAGGTCGCCGAGGCCCGCCTGGCCTCCATCCTACCATCACTGGTAGGTGAGGTGGTAAATCCTCTCTTAACTGGTTCTGCATTTCGAGGCTATTCAGGAGGCGTTGGCAGGAGGTACCAGTTGGGGGAGGAGGCGCTATTCGAACCACCAGTGGTGGGCCGAGAGTGCGTCTTTGCCTCAGTCCGCGTTAGGGGTCCTCGTCTTCCCTGGCCGACGGCCAGGCAGGGCAGCGCCTCCCCTTTCCCTGCTAATTCACTGCAGCTGAAGTCTGCGTGCGGTCATTGAGGAATGTTGCGGTGCGCAGCGTGCTTACCTCCAAAGTAGCAGTCCACTCGGCCTACCTGTCTGCACTGCAGGGACAGCTGGTGGCTCACAAGCGCTTGGCGGCCGACTCATCGGAGTCGATGCTCGTAGCGCCAGCTCGCGGGCGATACACTTCGCATCTGGCTAAGGGATAGCATTGGTGCTGTGCCAGCCAGATGATGGAGTGCGCGTCATGGGCTTGCGCCGCTGTGGTTGTCTGTGGCGCGGTGATAGCCCGGCCACACAACAAAGCTCTCAGTCATTGCCCTATACCATGGGATCCTCCCTGTTCCCTGGCATTGCAGGTAGTACAGGGAGGCAGCGGAGGCTGTCTCTACCTTCAAAGACTCAAAGCCTTTGTTGGAGCAGCCCTCGGGCTCCTGGCCAGCTGACCAGCTTCCCGCGTCCGGGCTTATCCTTCTTCTGCCCGGCGAAGGATGTTGCTAAGTGGACTGCCCTTTGCAGTCAAAGCGAGCAGGCGCAGGCGAGAGGCAAGGGCAAAGCCTGCTCAAAGCGCCTGGGCAACCTTTTTGAGGGAAAGGGGAAGCCAGCCCGGCTTCCGCTGATTCCTTCCCCAGAGCCCTTGGCCATTGCCCCCACTCCATGGCGGAGACTTGCCCGACTGTGGGGTGCACCACCTGCCTGCCACCGCGTCCTGTCGGCGGCGGCTGTCCCCTATTCCTCCGGGGAGTGGGAGGCAGCCACCTCAAATCCCTGGGTCCTGTCTTACGCTCAGGGGATGGCCATTTGCCACAGTGGGCCGAGATCCTCCGTCCTTCTCCGGGTTCGGCCTGCGCCTGTGCCGACCTCCCCCGCGACAAAGGCCGGGCCAGCTCGCGTGCGAAGTTCAGTCCTTACTGAACAAGGCAGCCATCGAGTGGTTCCTGTGGGTCAACAAGGAGAGGGGTTTTATTCCACCTACGCTTCCTAGTGACCAAAAGGACGGAGGGTTCAGACCCATTCTGAATCTCAGAGGTTTGAACCAGTTACTGGAGGTGCCGTCTTTCCAGGATGGAGACACTTCAGGTCAGTGATCTCCTCCTCGAATGGGAGACAGGGATTGGCTACGTCAATGCGATCTCAAAGACCTTATACCTCCATGTTCCAATGCACCCGAGTTCAAGAAGTACCTCGGGTTCTCCTTGACCCAGGGCCGTGCTACCACCAGTTTCAGCGTGCTCCCCTTTGGCATCTCCAGCGGCGCCAAGGGTGTTCACCAAACTTATGCTAAATCCCAGCTCAGTTAGCCAGGTCTCAGGGCGGGTGTTGTCACCCGTGCCTAGGCGATTGGCTTCTCAGGGCCTTAGGTCCTCAGTTAAGCAGAGCCTCCACACTGTGCGTGATGGATACTCTGGTGTCACTGGGCTGGATTATCAACCTCAGAAATCAGACCTCGTTCCGACACAGGATCTGATATTCTTGGGGGCAAGATTCAACAAGCAGACTAGGGATTGTTTCCCTTGCCCGGACCGCATCGTCAAAGTCCAGAGTACTGTTTCACAGTTTCTCCAGGCATTTAGCCCCAATCATCAGCCCGAACATGGCCGGTTGCTAGAGCAACATAAGCGGTGACAGTGGGCGATGGTTTGGCGTCTTGGCGTCTGAGGATCGCGACCAGTTCAGCAAGCGTTAAGCGCGGCAGCTATTGAGTCCCCACTTCGCGGAGAGCTCACGAGATTATTCTCCCTAGCGCCCGAGTGGTTAATTCCTCACTTTCTGCGATGGTGGGCCCGGAAGTGAAGGGAATTTGTCAGGGGATCCCCTCGACACCCGACACCTTCCCTCTCGGATTCAGGCCGGGCGCCTCCCTCACAGGTTGGGGGTCCTGAAGGCTCAGCCTCCGCACTCCGACCTCTGGTCGGGCCGGGAGATCAACCTACACATCAATGTGTTAGAACTGAGAGCAGTCCGCAGGGGTGTTCGGTGCTTCCAGTGTTGGTGCAGGGCCATGTGGTTTAGATCTAGAAATGGACAATCAAAGCGGCCATGTCTTACATTCTCAAGCAAGGCGGCACAGTGTCTCCGTCGGCTCCTTCAGGAAGCGTGGCAGTTTCTACTGTGAGTGCGATCAGTTCAACATTCGGGTTTTGCCTGTTTTATCTCCGGGGTGAACAGCGTCCGTGCAGATGCATTCTCACGGGAAAATATGCTAACCCCACAGTGGATGCTTTCGACGGGAGACGGCCGGGATTATCTCCCAGTTGTTGAATGCGTTTCCAGGTGGATCTGTTTGCGTCTGGGGTGAAGCGAACCAGATTCCTGTGTTTTGCTCAGTTCGGATCGGGGCGTTAATGCTGGCATGCCTTTCAGCTCGATTGGGCCGGACAGGGGTACTGTGGAGGCGTTCCCGATACCACTGATTTCCAGGGTCCTGTCACAGCTGACCGCAATAGCTTCTGTTGCTTTGTGGCCAGCTACAAGCACCTTTAGTGCGGCTGGCGCTGGTTTTCGGTGGAATTCTCAGGTTTCTGGCTCAGCCTCCTGTTCTATTACCTTTTCGACCCGGACCTCCTATCCCAGAGCGGGCGCCCACCGATCCAGGGGATTCAGTGGGTGGCCTGGCAGCTGTCAGGGGATCGCCTCCGTCTTGGCGAATTCCTGCCACCAGTTGCAGACACAATTCTGGCAGCTTCGGGAGGGATTCGACAAGCGTTCAATATGAGGATAGATGGGCCTGTTATTACCGGCTGAATTATTGTCAACCGCAGAGTTCTTGATCCCTTTTCTACAGATTTAGTCTGTGTTTAAAATTCCTCAGTCACCGGTTGGGCCGCCCACGGTCTAGCTCAGCTTTAGCCCAGTTCGAGATATTCTACAGCTATTTCTCGCGTTCATATACCTGTTGGCGGTGCTCTCTTGGGGCAGCACCCTCTGGTACAAGCTTTTAGCGAACGACAGAATCCGTCCAGTTGTCCGGCGGATTAGTCCCCGTGGAGACTTATCAATCGTTCTTGATTGCGCTGTCGGTCCACTGTTTCACAATCTGTCGGCTCTTTCACTCCAACTGTTGGCGTGGAAGGCGGCGTTTCTTAATGGCGGTGACTTCCAGGCAGGCCCGGGTTGGCGATATTCATGCAATGTCGGCCCGATCAGCGCTTACTGTTTTCACAAAGACAGAGTTAGCATCGGCTGCCCGATACAATACCGTCCTAAGAAGGATAGTCCCTTCCATGTGGCGAAGCCTATTGAGCTCCCAGCTTTCACTCAGCCTTCCTGTCGGTACCTCTCTCACGGCGTGCTCATCTTAGATGTCCGTAAAGACGCTTAAGGCTTATATATCAAGCGAACAAGGGGTACCCGTAGGGGTAACCAATTGTTTTGTTGTTATATGGCGAGGGTTCAGGCTGGTCTTCCGGCGACCAAACAAACCATTTCTCGGTGGCTTGTCTCTGCCATACATATGAGCTATACTCAAACAGAGTATTATCCCGCCTGTTGGGTTGAAACTCATTCGGTTAGGAGCAGTTGCTACATTGAAAAGCTTACGCTGCAGCCCTGCCCATTGAGGAGATCTGCTCAGCGGCTATTTGGAGCCGATCGAATGCGTTCATCCGTCATTACCAACTTGACAGACTCTCCAGTGGCGTGCTCGGTTCGGTCAGTCAGTTCTCTCCAGTGGGCATGGTTCCACCTCTCTAGCCGATTGAGCTTTAGAAGAGTATGTGAACCATTCTATGCCAACTTTTTAACACTGGTGTTGGGTTTTAAAAATCTTGTTTACATATTCCCTTGGTGGCGGGTTTTATGTGGTGATGGTTTTATTCCCATGTCTTTTGCGTTCTGCTCCTAGACTTTACTGGCCTTGGAAGCTTTGCTAAATATATACATATTAAGGCATTTCGTTTCTGGCGGCTTATTAGCGGGACCCTTATCTTAGGCTTCGAGGTAGATTCGGGAGGAGGGAGGGAGGTGTGTCTCGTTAGTTTGCTTTAGCGAGGTTTCGCTGGGCAATTTACATATGTTAGACCCTGACCCTGGTTCATGCCCCGCCTGATTGGCTATGGTGGACAAGTGACCCGGGTAAGTGTGCTTTTTCTGCTATAATTAGCAGGAAATTCCACTTCTTGTAGGGGTGTTTTCTGCAGAGAGAATGCATCCTTAGCTCCGTCTTTAGGAGTCTGTCTTATGCTTATAAGTACCCCAAGGAGGAATATATAAAAGAATCGAACTAACCTGTATAGGTTTCCAGATTCTTTGAATATATTCCTCCTTACTTCTGCTCCACTCCTCCCATTCTGTCTGATGTGGATTCAGCATGGAAAGTGAGGTCGCGAGGTTCACGAGTCTAGGGGATTACCTGCTCTTGGCTGTAGGGGCCAGAGGGCCCTGTAAAGGTGGTCTCACAAGACAAAAGCGTAGTTTTTGTTTTGTAAATATTTTATTCAAATATTGTTTTACAACTGTAAGTAGGGTTTTTAAATGGACATTTAAATGCTTTATAAAATTACCCCAAGGAGGGAATATATTCAAAGAATCTGAAACCTATACAGGTTAGTTGAATTTATGTAAACTTGATTTACACTTGCAACATAGTTTGTGCACCTCTGACATCACGGAGAGATATTATATAAAGTGTAGAAGTAGTGACAAGGTTGAATTTATGTAAACTTCATTTTACACTTGCAACATAGTTTATGCACCTCTGACATACGGAGAGATATTATATAAAGTGTAGAAATAGTGACATGGTGCGAATTTATGTAAAGCTTGATTTACACTTGCAACATAGTTTGTGCATCTCTGACATACGGAGATATTATATAAAGTGTAGAAGTAGTGACAAGGTTGAATTTATGTAAACTTCATTTACACTTGCAACATAGTTTATGCACCTCTGACATCTGAGGAGAGATATTATATAAAGTGTAGAAGTAGTGACAAGGTTGAATTTATGTAAACTTCATTTACACTTGCAACATAGTTTATGCACCTCTGACATCTGAGGAGAGATATTATATAAAGTGTAGAAGTAGTGACATGGTGGAATTTATGTAAACTTCATTTACACTTGCAACATAGTTTGTGCACCTCTGACATATGGAGAGATATTGTATGAATGATAAAACCTATTTGGTTTGGTATCACCAGCTGGATTGTGCCCCCGGGTGGAGTGGCACTTTTTGGGGTTCGGTGGTTATCGGATTGAATTTGCAATATCTTGTATGACCTAATCAAGTGTATTGTAGAAGTAACATTAAATGTAAATCTTCACATTTTGTCAGTTTGAATTCTGACCACGAGGATCGTTGCTAACAGACTGAATGTGGCTGTGTTGTGACAGCTGGAAACGTGATGGTGCAGGAGAAGAACCACAAGTTGTCCCTGAAGGTGCTGGACTTTGGGAAGGCTCATCCCTTACGTGGGGAATCTTATGACCTTCGGGGTGAACTAGATGACATCTACCAGATCATCCGTCTGTTCAGCGCCATCTATGTAGGAGACGAGTTCGAAAGTGCCAAGCACATGAAAGACAGCTATAAGCAAAGTGAACTTGTAAGTATGGCATCAGGTTGCCTGTTGGATATTGGTATATAATATGTATCATTGCTTTGAATACCTTTACCTCTATTACATCATAACCATTAATTCTGTATTTTGGCTGTTCACAAAATGATCTTTTTCAACAGAAAACCTCTTTACTGTTTGCTATCTAATATATGTCTTGAGGGAAACAGCATTTCTAGCCTAATGCATCTTTGCTTGTTTGATCTGAAAAATATCACTTGTTTCCTAAATGCTCTAAAATAGACAAGGACACACGTTGTCAGTATACACTCAAACACTGTTGTTCACACATACGGTTGTCTAGAAGTGAAAGCTTGGCCCCTCCATATTCCTTCTTTAGTCACCATCTTCATTTTTTCACTTAGGATAACTAGAAGTATTTACAACACTGCAGTGATTGACTGTAATTTAGGACAGTTTTGTCCTATCCTGTGTCAGGCATCGTCATTGTTATCTGTAGGCATAATCTCCTGGGAAACCACTGGATGCTGAAACTTTTCATGCTTGCCAACACCAATGATGACACTGTGATTTGTTCAAGAGCCTCCATATTGTGATTTAGACGTGTTTTGCATTGTCATCTGTTACATATATTCTTTCTATCGCAGATCGAAACATTATCTTCAGATGATAAAAAGGAGATGTTTCAGCTGATTGATGCATTATTATGTGTTGCTGAGAGTGAACACAAGATGGACAATGCTTTAAAAGAATTAGAAACAAAGATGGAGAGCACAGGTAAGATGGGATTTACAACACTGCTGTTGTAACATATATAAGGGACACCTGGCATATTTTACAATTTAGCCCTTAGGCGTTAATGCTGTTGTCGATCAGGTATTCTGATCATATATACTGTTTTAAAGCAAGAGTAGACAGGTTATATGTTTCTCTGGACAATAAAAATTACAAATACGAATGGCTCAGAGGAATGTAACCACCTGTCAGTGCAGTGTTAAAATCGAAAAAGACAACTCCCTGTCTCCATACACTGCATGGTCCACACCAATTTTCCAGGTGTTTTGGGTAGTTTTGTGACCATTCCATCTCTGAATTTCCAAGGCTGATCTTTTGTCTGACAACTGATCCAACATATATACTTCTACATCCGCTACTTTGGTGATTATATATGAAACTTTGATGTATACAATATTTGATTACAAGTTGGGCAGTTATCACCTGGTGATGGTGAAACTGTTGATTGTGTACAACATCCAGCTTGATACTTTCAGATATCCATGACATGCTGAAGAAAGTGGCAGCTATTCTGTTCCGTGAATCTGATTACAAGTCCTTACACGAGAACGACCTTGGAGTAAAGGTAATAGTACAATCATCTTAAAGCTTGGGTCTGCTTTGGGACTTTTGTGAAAAGATCAGTTGATCATCTGTGATTTCACATGCTCCTTCATGGCCTTATTATTGAAGTATATACTAAACTGAGTTCTTAACTTTTTCTTTAGAAATGACTCTGTACCAGAATTTCATTGAACAACATTTTTGTCAGGTGTGTTACCATCGTCAATACTTGTAGATCGCGTATTGTTGATGATCCCTCATCACCCAGGAATACATACAGATACATTCCAGTGTATCCCTGATGTGTGTCGGTTCTTAGTCTACTGATGAAATCAAAATGCCAAATGAGTCTGAATCCATGCACAACCCCTAGATTATGTGTAGAGAATACATTCTAAAGTCTAATCCATGCATGGACATTGTACATTAGACTATATGTAGAGAATACATCATGAAGTCTAATCCATGCATGAAGAAATAACCAGGCAGCACCTTGATTAGTTGGTATTAAATACAGCTACACTCTAGACAAGGTCTGTGTATCCCAAGTAATGGCATATTGATGATGGTGTGTTATCTATAGCACGTGATAACAGAGGACAATGTTGAGACTCAGTGTATACTTTCAGTCCGAGAGGGAGAGGATGTGTGTGACTCAGTCACTGATCTGAGCGAACGAGCTGCAAGCATCCCAGATGACTTCATCAGTGAACTACGTCTTGGCATCAAAGTCCGAAGCATGATGTAGATATTCGCAGCTCATGGCATCACCTGCAGACTATGACGCCTGCCATTCAACTCATGTCAACCAGGAAGTGGTGAAAAGCAGCCAATCTGTGGTATATCTTGACTACTTTTTACTGAATGTGATATTGTCCACTGGAAGTCTCCAAGGAGTAGATACATAGAGGTCAGTGCAACATGAATGAGAAGATCTTGCCACCAAGGGGTCTGTAACTCCAATGTTTTGAAGTGGACTTAACATATTCACAGCTCTAGTCAATACTTCCTAAGGCTTTGTTACAACTGTAGTGGTTCACGTAACAACAGTGAAGTTTTTAGTGAATAAGTGATACTTCTGTTTTACAACAGTCTGGTCCTGTAACAGTCACATGTCCTTGTTACAACAGTCTGTCCTGTAACAGTCACATGTCCTTGTTACAACAGTCTGGTCCTGTAACAGTCACATGTCCTTGTTATAACAGTCTGTCCTGTAACAGTCACATGTCCTTGTTAGAACAGTCAGGTCCTGTAACAGTCACATGTCCTTGTTACAACGGTCTGGTCCTGTAACAGATACATGTCCTTGTTACAACAGTCTGGTCCTGTAACAGATACATGTCCTTGTTACAACAGTCTGGTCCTGTAACAGATACATGTCCTTGTTACAACAGTCTGGTCCTGTAACAGATACATGTCCTTGTTACAACAGTCTGGTCCTGTAACAGATACATGTCCTTGTTACAACAGTACTACAACTTTTGATTTCTCAGCAAGGGCTAATGAGAACATGATTAAAGTTCTTTCATTATAATCTTCTTGCATCAGTTTGTTGAACTCCACCTTTTTGCCCAAAGTGTCCTTTTAATCATGCATAATCTTCAACATGCATGGTGTCTTTTATAAGCATTTATATCCGTTGTTGATAATCATGGGTACTTTATTCCATCAATCATATTTGAATGGTGCTAATTTAAGAGTTTTCTATGATGGCCTTTACACCACAGTCCATCTGAATATATCTACAGATTACAACACGTGGTCATATACTGTTGAAGGTCTGAGTGTATTGTCCATGTTAGTGAGCCAACCAAAGACAGCAGACATACTTAAAACCATTTTGTGATTTTACTGGCTCTTCTTTTAGATACAGTAAACTATGTTTGTAATGAACACACATATAATGAACTCACAGATACACGGAACCGTGTTTTCGGTTCCCTGACACTTGGTGTATATTTTACTTGGAAGACGAACTACAGTTCCTTTGGGTTCGTTGTAACCATAGTTTACTGTCAGAGAGCTTATTTGATAAGGATTGGTAGTGTAGTTTTATAGTTGCTGTTTGACACTACTTGTAGGATCTGGACCAGATAGTTCCTTGTGATATTCTGCAAAGAACCTTTCTGTCAGGATGTGATAACACACTGTCATCCTAGTCATAGAGCCTAGCCTCCTGATTCCTGAAGTTATCTCTCAAGCTATAAGTTTAGATTTCTGTAAGAGATTTCTGTTTCACCAGCGATACAAGGTTGATGTTCACAGTGATGCAACCAGACTCAAGAATTCATGGACTAAATGTTCAGTAAACAGTTTGACGTTATTTAGTTAGTCTTAATGTTTGGTCAAGGATATGTCATTCACAATTCATCAATGACTTACTGTTCACGAATGAATTTTTCATTTTCTCAAAATATGTTTTTCAGGGGTTTTTTTCTGGTACTTTAAATGTCTGGGTGATTAAAACAGTTAAAAGTGTAAAACTGGTCTCAGATTGCTGTGGCATGTTGTACTTGGTGAACTGTATCAGTATTCTATCACAATCACGTGATTACACTAGCCTTGGTAGAAGCATTGCTTCTATGCATTTACGCAATAACGTGTGATGACTGTATTGGTATACCTGTATACTGCTATGTTTTTATGATGATGTATATCGCAATATTTTGTTTTGTTTTGGTGTGTTGGGTAGAAACTGTACTGCAAGTTTCCTTATTATTGGTATCATTTGCCATAAAGTCTATACAGAAATTCATTCTCAAATTTGAGAAGTCACGAGTGATTTTTCTGTTAGGGTGGCATCGACTGACAGTACTTACTTTGGTGTAATGATATTTAATTTAGTATGTAGAATATAAGATGTACATGTACAGTGTCAGTCCCTGCTAAGTGCTGAAGTACCTAATTTTTAAATTTATCCCATCTCACGGTATGCACCTCTCTTCTTCTTCTATGACCATGTGTGGAAATGTGCTGAGCGATCTGCACGCTTATTGAGATGATTGACTGGTACTGCTATCAGAGTTGGGGCAGAGGTCAGGTGGTCAGAGGCCGGAAGTTTTGATTCAACTTAGCCTACAGCACGTTTCCACACATGGTCGTAGAAGAAGAAGAGAGGTGCATACCGTGAGATAGGATAAGCATATAAATATACAATTTATAGTAAAATTTCCAAATATATTACTAAACAATGTTTTTCGTAGTTTGGTTGGGGGGTGGGGGGTGTTAACCTAGTGGGTTAGAGCTTTCTCTTGTAAATTCCCCACATTGGTATAATATGTGAAGCCCATTTTTGGTGTCCCCTGCCAGGATAATGCTGGAATATTGCTAAAAGCGGCATACTTACACGTACTCATTTATTTCTTTTGTCAACAAAAATCTATGCTCGAACCCTGCTGTTTCTGTAAGATGAATAGAAAATAGACATGCAAGCAGACTTCGTTTCATATTAAGGCCTCCATTAGGGCATGACAGTGTTTGTGTTCCTCATGCCTTGTATTCTGAAGTGTAACCAATTGTGACATGTTTTGTCTTGTAACTCAAAATTGTGCTGGTTGTACTTGCACAGAATTTAGTGAGTTGCTATTTCAGTTTTGGGCTGGTAATTATCCTTTGTTGAAGTAAATACTAGTAACACAAGTGGTATACTGGTATTTCTTCATAAGATTCTGATACATATCCACCTGTGTGGATTTCTTGTTTTTGTATTTTGTTGTTTGAAAATATAATATTATAACTTTCTCTGAAATTCAATGTTAAGCCCTACAGGGTAGGAGGTTTGTTTCTAGTGCAGGGCAGAAAGGTTACAGATATTCTTTATAGAAGTTGTTCAAGTATGCTGTTTCAGAAATACATGTATTGCCCCTTCATAATTTTGAGGTTTAAAATTATTTTTTTGATTTTAGTTTGTTGTAACATCATGGATTCATATATGTTCCTGATACAACCGACCATTTTACTGTTTTGTGAATTTATTGGATAATTTATTCTAAATGTACCTGATAATTGAGTTTATATTTTATCACAAAACCTGAATCACAGAATGGTCACAAAAGTCTACATGTATTGTTTGATAGGATCTCTGCCATATGACTGGCAGCCCACAAGATCTGGGTCCACTTGTACTAAGCTATCTTAGAGCTACGATGATCGTTACTCCTATACTAACATAGACTTAAGATAATCACAGCGCAAAGATCACTTCGCGCTGGTCAGCTGAAAGTAAGCAGAAGGTGGCCAGTTGCACTGAGAAGTCCATTTCTCTGAGTATACAGATGAATAACTTTCATGTATGTTTTGTCATCAGTAGAATCTATTCATCCAAGGTAGGGATTCATCAGATGAAATAAACATATCATTAGTTGTTGGGCAGTTACTTTGGGAGTGTCCAATGTTTTTATTTCAGTAGCCTTTGTAACCAGTAGGAAAATGCTTGCATCTGAAAGAAAGTTGAAAATGAGGTTGCACCATTTATGTGTATTTATATCTGTACATTTTTGTACATCTGTTGATTTTAGGTCTAATGTTATTTCTTGATATGTTGCATCTCCTCGATTCCATGACAAGTCAACATTATGTTCTTTGGGATTTTTGTTTTGTTTTTGTCTTATTCATAGTATTTATGTCCACTTGACTGAATTTATTTTAGACTTTGAATTTACTTTAGAGTTTAGACTTGGCTTCACAGAAATCAAATGATTCTTGTTGATTACAAAAGCAACTCATCTTGTCCTACTTCATTGTTTCTTAGAAGAGTTAAAACAATCTGCAGAACAGTGCTAATGATTTCATAACATTACTTTAGTTTTAGTTTTCTTTTGTTTTCTTCAGTGTTTGTCTGTAGTCTGAAACTTTGCATACATCGTGAAGTAATGATGTTTCTTATCGTTGCTAACATGGCTGTAACAAGGTAGTAGACATGGCCACTTTGGCAGCCATATTGAAAATGTTGAAAATTACAAAAGTTATTGTTCCATTTAAAATTATTAGGTTATGTATAAATAAAGATGAATATGCAATGTCATTTTGCGGCGGTGGCTGAGTGGGTTAGATCATTGACTTTGTGTGTTTGGATAAGGTGCCTGACTCTGAGAGTGTGCTTTTGAATCTCATATTTAAGTCAAACCCCAGAGTTCTAGAATTTGTACTTAACCAAGAAATGAACTCCCAAATGTAACATATGTTATATACATCATAAAGATGTTTTCATCTTTTGGCCCTATTATGACCTTGAACCTTCACAAAACCTTAATATACTGTACTAATTCACTTTTAGCTTGTAAACAAGACTTTTAGTTCTAGTTGTCATTTTCATAGACTACCAAAATCTAGTCATGGACTAGAGTGATCCAGTGACAAAACCTTGAGTCATATGCTGGTGTATGTAATTGTTCATATCATATTCACTTATGAGTTATAAGTATTCATGTGTCTAGTCCAAATTTTCATTTATAGTGCTGTGGTGCATCAGAATATACTGAAAGGTGTAAGCTGTAAGTTTGTTTTTTATGTTATTTTCCTTTGTTTTTGCAATATGTGTTTGTTTATTCCTCACCAGCAATGAATATCACCTTTTCAGAGATTTAGTACACTATTTAAGAATGCCTGATACAATTGGTTGTATCCATTAGACAACTGTAGATGTCACGTAGGCAAGTTGGAAGTGACAGACCACTTCTAATTGTAATACATTGGCATTTCAAAGAGGTTTTCCACTCCTGTTTCCATTTGTGAGTACCAATCTAGCATTAAGTCTCTGTATTACTTCATGTATTCGCAATGATAAAGCTAACAGGCAGCATTTTTACAGAAACAGGGCCAAGATACAGGGAACCTTTATGAAAATACTACTAAGATAAAGAATACTCTATGCCAATACACTAAAATACAGGAATACTTTATGACAATACACTAAAATACAGGAATCCTCTATGACTATACACTAAAATACAGGAATCCTCTATGACAATACACTAAAATACAGGAATCCTCTATGACTATACACTAAAATACAGGAATCCTTTATGACAATACACTAAAATACAGGAATCCTTAATGATAATACACTAAAATACAGGAATGCTTTATGAAAATACACTAAAATACAGGAATCCTTTATGACAATACACTAAAATACAGGAATCTTCTATGACAATATGGGGCGGTGGGGTAGCCTAGTGGCTAAAGCGTTGGCTCTTCACGCCGAAGACCCGGTATCGAATCCCCACAAGGGTACATTGTGTGAAGCCCATTTCTGGTGTCCCTCGACGTGATGTTGCTAGAATATTGCTAAAAGTGGCGTAAAACCAAACTCAGGCAGTCAGTCTATGACAATACACTAAAATACAGGAATCCTCTACTGCTTGTGCAGTTATCAAGAACATGTTTGTTTAGCCCAGTGACTTTCTTCTGTAGTGTGTTTCCTGTCATCTTCCTGAAAAAATGTAATTTGTGTAACCTTGCATAATTGAACCCTAGCTCTCCAGGATTGTTATCTTTAGTAATGGTTTGGATTAATCTCTAGATGTTTCAACTGTTTGGTGGAGTATCTGGTGTCTGGGCTGGTCCCTTTCCATATCTTGTCATTAATATATTTATGCACTTTTATCCAGACCATGTGAGAATTGTAATAAAACAAATTCAAGAAGTTTGCTTCATGTTGTATGTATGAAAATGGTATCTGTTGCTGCAAACCAGTTTTCTGCGAACTGATAAGAAACACTGGTTGAAGGCAGTGCAGTTAACTGTGGAGAGTTATGTCCCTTAGTCATGCCATCAGCTGATCTACCATTCATGTGTCTCAAGAAGGAAGGGTGGACACATGGCCAAGGTTTCTATTTCTAAGGTGCCACGAATCACTTTATAGAGTTTATCCTTGGGCATACCAGAAACCAATGGCTGTGGATTCGAATCCTGGTTAGCCTGATTATTTGTTTGGGCTATATCCATGTTTATGGATTCCACCAAAGTGAAATTCCTTTAAAACATGCATTATTTCCCTCTTTCCTCCCACTCCCAGCTGACAGGTCCAGACTACATTATTTACAGACGGTCGCCATAGAGCTGGAATATTGCTGAGTGCCGTGTAAAACTAAACTCACTCACTCAAGTAGCTGATAAGCAGTGATAGAACTAGAATACTGCTAAAAGCAGCATTAAGCCCAACTCACTCACTCACTCACTCACAATTTGTCAGCATTATATGTGCACTGGTGGATGTCTGTCAGTTAACTTTCCCTGCTTCATTAGCTGAACAGCTGTAAACTAACTTAAATAATCAATCTCACTCACTAATTTTGTATTGATTCGAATATGTATCTGTATTTATGTGCTGGTAGGTAAGCAGATACCCAATTATTCAATGTACATATTGTGTGGTCAGGATGTAGGTCAGCATGATTCACACATCATTGACTGTGTATATTTCATATCAATTACGTGGGAAGAACAATAATGAGTCAGCCACTATGGTAATAACACATGTATCACCCTGGAAACAAACTGGGACCCTCTACTGCTTAGCAAGTCAGAGCACCTGTTGAACCTATAGAGCACACTAGGCAAATGCTACCAGAGTGTGTGGGAATACCATTGCGTTACAGTAGCAGGTTTGATGTTAGTCCAGCTGTAATGTTTTGTGTTTCTCATTTCCAACCTCAACAAAAAATATATATATACAAATAAAAACAATTTTTCCAATAATTGTGTAACTCATTTAATTAAATTTGTTAAAATCAGTTCTCTTAGTAATAGTATTTAAGTGGTTTATGCTGTAGATTGAATTGTTTAGCATTGGAAACATATTTTGATAAATGGAGGTCAAAGATGAGGCTGACCATATTTTTATGACCGTGCTAGGGTAAGCGTTTAGGGTTTTTGTCACTTCAGAGCATCCATTTCTACAGCGGCGGAGAAAATGAGGTAAGAATGTTTTTATTTCACATCGGAATTAAAATTCAGAGGGAACGGGAGATGGGTTGGGAAACATGAAAAGTGACAGCGTTATGCTATCCCAAAAACATTGCAGCCATTCTAATTTGATGTTAGATGTTGATCATTCTTGATGTGAATGACACTGTCACCACCAGCAGATGCCTGCAGCAGTATTCTATTGGTGAATGTCAAGTACATCCTCTATATCCCTATCTTACGTTACCCCTAGGGCTAGCTCTGGAGCAACGCTGGCCCTGCGGGTATAGAGGATGACAGATATTGAACCCTGGCATTTCTCTCAAAGTATGTTTTTTACCTCATCCAAATGACCTGTTGTCTCCATTCCATCTGTCCATTAACAGATGGAAATTTCTTTCATGCCTTAAATGAAAATGAAGAAGTTTGTATTAAAGACGATGTAGATGGGGTATAAGGCATCATCTAAAGAGAAATCTGATATTTTGACATACCAGCCACACCTCACGCCCGATCATCACATACCAGCCACACCTCACGCCCGATCATCACATACCAGCCACACCTCACGCCCGATCATCACATACCAGCCACACCTCACGCCCGATCATCACATACCAGCCACACCTCACGCCCGATCATCACATACCAGCCACACCTCACCCCGATCATCACATACCAGCCACACCTCACCATCATCACATACCAGCCACACCAGCCACTTCAATGCGCTCATCATCACTGTACCAGCCACACCTCACGCCCGTTCATCACATACCAGCCACACCTCCACGCCCAATCATCATCTCATACCAGCCACACTTTAGCCTGTACCATCACATACCAGGATACACCTCACTCCCCATCATCACAGACATCCCATCTAAAATTGTACCAACTAACCACACACATTCCCACGTAGAACTTAGTTGACATGTTAAACTGTAGCACCAACTAACCACATACAACCCATACAGAACGGACATGACATGTTAAACTGTAGTACCAACTAAACACACACAACCCCATACAGAACGGACATGACATGTTAAACTGTAGTACCAACTAACCACATAGAACCCCATACAGAACGGACATGACATGTTAAACTGTAGTACCAACTAACCACATACAACCCCATACAGAACGGACATGACATGTTAAACTGTGGTACCAACTAGCCACACACAACCCTATACAGAACGGACATGACATGTTAAACTGTAGTACCAACTAACCACACACAACCCCATACAGAACGGACATGACATGTTAAACTGTGGTACCATCTAGCCACACACAACCCTATACAGAACGGACATGACATGTTAAACTGTAGTACCAACTAACCACACACAACCCCATACAGAACGGACATGACATGTTAAACTGTAGTACCAACTAACCACACACAACCCCATACAGAACGGACATGACATGTTAAACTGTAGTACCAACTAACCACACACAACCCCATACAGAACGGACATGACATGTTAAACTGTAGTACCAACTATAGCCACACACAACCCCATACAGAACGGACATGACATGTTAAACTGTAGTACCAACTAACCACACACAACCCCATACAGAACGGACATGACATGTTAAACTGTAGTACCAACTATAGCCACACACAACCCCATACAGAACGGACATGACATGTTAAACTGTAGTACCAACTAACCACACACAACCCCATACAGAACGGACATGACATGTTAAACTGTAGTACCAACTATAGCCACACACAACCCCATACAGAACGGACATGACATGTTAAACTGTAGTACCAACTGTAGTAGCCACACACAACCCCCATACAGAACGGACATGACATGTTAAACTGTAGTACCAACTAACCACACACAACCCCATACAGAACGGACATGACATGTTAAACTGTAGTACCAACTAACCACACACAACCCCATACAGAACGGACATGACATGTTAAACTGTAGTACCAACTATAGCCACACACAACCCCATACAGAACGGACATGACATGTTAAACTGTAGTACCAACTAGCCACACACAACCCCATACAGAACGGACATGACATGTTAAACTGTAGTACCAACTATAGCCACACACAACCCCATACAGAACGGACATGACATGTTAAACTGTAGTACCAACTATAGCCACACACAACCCCATACAGAACGGACATGACATGTTAAACTGTAGTACCAACTAACCACACACAACCCCCATACAGAACGGACATGACATGTTAAACTGTAGTACCAACTATAGCCACACACACCCACCATACAGAACGGACATGACATGTTAAACTGTAGTACCAACTATAGCCACACACAACCCCATACAGAACGGACATGACATGTTAAACTGTAGTACCAACTATAGCCACACACAACCCCATACAGAACGGACATGACATGTTAAACTGTAGTACCAACTAGCCACACACAACCCCATACAGAACGGACATGACATGTTAAACTGTAGTACCAACTATAGCCACACACAACCCCATACAGAACGGACATGACATGTTAAACTGTAGTACCAACTATACAGAACGGACACACAACAACCCACATACAGAACGGACATGACATGTTAAACTGTAGTACCAACTATAGCCACACACAACCCCATACAGAACGGACATGACATGTTAAACTGTAGTACCAACTAGCCACACACAACCCCATACAGAACGGACATGACATGTTAAACTGTAGTACCAACTATAGCCACACACAACCCCATACAGAACGGACATGACATGTTAAACTGTAGTACCAACTATAGCCACACACAACCCCATACAGAACGGACATGACATGTTAAACTGTAGTACCAACTATAGCCACACACAACCCCATACAGAACGGACATGACATGTTAAACTGTAGTACCAACTAAAACTGCCACACACAACCCCATACAGAACGGACATGACATGTTAAACTGTAGTACCAACTATAGCCACACACAACCCCATACAGAACGGACGGATACTGACATGTTAAACTGTAGTACCAACTAACTATAGCCACACACAACCCCATACAGAACGGACATGACATGTTAAACTGTAGTACCAACTATAGCCACACACAACCCCATACAGAACGGACATGACATGTTAAACTGTAGTACCAACTAAGCCACACACAACCCCATACAGAACGGACATGACATGTTAAACTGTAGTACCAACTATAGCCACACACAACCCCATACAGAACGGACATGACATGTTAAACTGTAGTACCAACTATAGCCACACACAACCCCATACAGAACGGACATGACATGTTAAACTGTAGTACCAACTAGCCACACACAACCCCATACAGAACGGACATGACATGTTAAACTGTAGTACCAACTATAGCCACACACAACCCCATACAGAACGGACATGACATGTTAAACTGTAGTACCAACTATAGCCACACACACCCCATACCCCCATACAGAACGGACATGACATGTTAAACTGTAGTACCAACTAGCCACACACAACCCCATACAGAACGGACATGACATGTTAAACTGTAGTACCAACTATAGCCACACACAACCCCATACAGAACGGACATGACATGTTAAACTGTAGTACCAACTATAGCCACACACAACCCCATACAGAACGGACATGACATGTTAAACTGTAGTACCAACTATAGCCACACACAACCCCATACAGAACGGACATGACATGTTAAACTGTAGTACCATCCAGCCAC